TTGCCGTGTAAAATAGCTGAATAGTCCTATTATAGCTATTATGCCACAAATGTTGTATATTGTTGAAGATCAAAGTACTGTACTACACTCAATGGTGAGATGTACAAGCACAGCACACTTCCCATATTATGTAAAAAATACTGCATTTTATGAGTCATTTAGTACCATGTGAGGTATCTGTGGACCCTATATCATTTCCTTCAAACTTTCCTCATCATTCTGAAATCCTTTATTTTCTGGTTGAAAGACTTACAATCTAGTCATTTCTCACTAGTCTCCTCAGGAAATAAACTTCGGTACTCTGTGTTCTTTCATTGCATTATATTACATACTGCATATCATTCTATTTTACATTTAAATTACTTTAGAAAAATATGAAGTAACTCTGGACAACAGCAAATTCTAAGTGGAAGGTTGAGAAAATGTAAACATTTCCCATCAAAACCATTAATGATGTTTCTCAAGCCTTAAAATGTATAAGACTCAGTGTTGATAGGGCTTCACAAAAACAAAGATAGCTATTTTATCTGACCTTGTTAGGAAGGTAAATATATAAACATGTGCATAACTAGATGCCTTATAATATTGGGGTGGCCGATATGAGGTGCTAAATGAATGATACTTAAAAAGTGATGCAGTCATCTCTAGGAGAGTTTGAGGTAGCTGCTATTCCTGAAAACTTCACCCTTAAAATAGAAGAGGCCAGGGAAGCACTGAGTACTCATTTAGTTATAAAAATTGGCATGATTTGATTTTACTATCAATATTTGGCATTTCATAAAATCCAACTCTATGATGTTCCATTCTCATTGTCCATACAGAAGTTCCTGTCCTTAAAGAAAAACTTACTTTGAATGCAACAAAAATGCCCCTCAGGTAGTGCCATCTTTTGGCACTTGGTAAAATGATTTTTAGAAGATTCTCATTAATCGTGGATAGGATTAACAGTCTAGGGACTATTTTCCCTAAAGTAACACATTCTGTATGTAATTTGGAGCTATTACTGCAAAATTTAGGACTTGTTTACATAGTACAAAGAATCAGTAAACATAAAATGTGGTGAATGAAAATAACTGCAAATTTAAAAATACAACAATTTATGAAACTCTAATTTAAATGAAGGCTGGTAATGTTGAGGGAACCAAATGAAAAGCTAAGTGTGGTTTGTAACTGCTGGGTTTCCAATATAATTTATAAAGTAAAAGCGACAGTGAAATTAAATAAAATTACATATAAAACTTTAGAACCAGGTCTAGGACATAGTAGGTGCTAAATAAAGTTTAAAAATACAATAAATATTATAACATTAATACTAGTAGGAAAATATTTGGTGCTTGGACAATTTCTGGTAATTAGCATACAGAAAGGTTCTAGTTCAAGATGACCAAATTATAATCTGGATCTACACAAAAATGTATGCATGCTTAGTTAGAGGGAGTAAACTGTCCAGCTCAATCACTAAAAGGGCAGTGAAGATGATGGTGTCCTGGGTGTGGGGGTCCTCATTGTTTTCTTGTGAAGTCCAACACAAAATGACAATCCAGGTATCAAATTTTATTTCTAAAATTTTGTTTTTTTTTAACATTCCCTTTGTGACCATCTTATCTTTCCTTATAGACCAGTCATTCTCAATCTTGCCTGAAAGTTAAAACCATTGGAGAGCTTTTAAAAATATCTATGCCCAGGCCTATCCTAAATGAATTGAATCAGAATAGATGGGGGAGGGACCCAGGAATAAATATTTTAATAAAATCTACTCAAGAACACTATAAACTCATTTAAAACAAAAACTGTCTTAAGTTATTTGTCTTTATCCATCAACCTACACACAACACATAGTAGTCCTGTCCTGCTCACATGTCTGTGTTGAATAATACACAAATGAATGAATGGATGGATCGGAAAATAAATGAATATATTTACTCATGACATGGCATTGAATGTCCTAGAAATTGAAAAGTAATACAATGCCTTTTTTACTATTTTATCTTCCAAACGAATAAGATTTACTCAGAGATATATTCAACCTTCCTTAAGTTTCGCTCTGTAGAGGTGCATGCTCACTCAATATGCATATACCCATTCAGTGACAGGGCTTGGGTGGAGCGACATAGGACAGCATTTGTTCAGATTACAACCTTCGTGGTCTCCTCTGTGTGTGTGATTGCAGTTAAGAGCCTGTTTATCAGCAGTTCACTTCCCCACCTCTCACATCAAGCCATAACAAATATATCACATTGACTTTACATACTCCCCGTGGAAGAAATCAGGCTGTCCAATAAGTAGAGAGACATCAGTTTCCATCCAATTTTGGGTTTCCTCACAGAGGAAAGTGGTAAGTCTGTGGAACAAAGTGGAGGCATCATCATCTTCCACTGAGACATAAAGATGTGTTCATAAGGATACTGTTCCCACTTTAAAATATTTCATTTTTCTCACATTTACAGGGTCATCAAAAAGAAATCAATTGTGAACTCTAAGGAAGTTTTTAAAAAACTGAATTTGAGGGCCTCCCTGGTGGTGCAGGGGGTTGAGCGTTGTGCTGTATAGCTGTCTGTGGCCTTTATGGTGGGAGTTCAATTCCTGGCAGGGAGCAACCTACCTCTACCGAGCGAAACTTAAGGAAGGTTGAATATATCTCTGAGTAAATCTTATTCGTTTGGAAGATAAAATAGTAAAAAAGGCATTGTATTACTTTTCAATTTCTAGGACATTCAACGCCATGTCATGAGTAAAGACAGGCAGACCTCTCCTGTCTTGCCAGCTGCTCCCCTCAGCATTATGTTTCGGTACATCTGCCTGTTCTGCTTCCCATTCTCTCTGGTGAATCTTGTCCTCCCCATGACTCTAGCCTGTACCTCACTTCTAAAAAAAAAAAACAACAAAAAACAGAAACAAAAACTGAATTTGAAATGATTTAATAACTTGGTTATTTTGGATTAATGATAAAAGGTTTAAGCTTAGAAATGCTTAATGTAAATCTAGAATATCTAGAATTTTTTTTTTGTAATTGTGGACAGAAACCAAAAGGTGTATTTTAGTATGTACAATGAAATTTGGAAAATTGATGCTATAAACCATAAAATATCATTTAAATTTCATTTTAAAGACCTTTATTGTGTGGAAGAACTTATTTTCTACTTCTTTTATTTTGTGCCTTGATGGATCTGTGAACAGGGAGGTTCTTCTCAATCAATGGATAGAAATTCTGTTTTCATTGCTTCCTCTCCCTACACTAAGCTGAGGTAGGAAAAGAAGCTGGGGTTTTGCTATTTATAACAATAATGAAGGTAAGAAAGAAAACAATGGCTTGAGAGAAAAAATATGTGAAGTGTACAAAGCAGGGCTAAACAAAAGGTTTCTAAAGGAAACATGTATAATGACCCAATCACGTAAATTTTATCATTTTTATATTGTCTTCATAGATTTTTTTCAGACTTTTCTGCTTGTATGTGACTAGTGCTCTCAATTGCAGAAGTTGGAAAGTAGCTATGGGAAAGTTACACAGAGAACTTGGCAATCAACATGCCCTAGAAGACCGTGTGGGGTGGCAAAAATGGTATTAGCCATCCTCCTTTGCGCCAGAAACAAGTGGAACAGAGGAAGTTCTTCCAGACTCTTTTGCAGGGTTTCAGGCTCTATTGTGCTGGGTTGCTCTATCCTGGGAAAGTATCACCCACTCCTGCTTGGACTTCCTACCAAGGACAGAGACCCCGAAATAAATCCGTTGGGCAGCAGCCAAGACACCTCAAAGTTTCTCAACCAAAGAGAGAGAAGTTGCACGTATCCGGCTTTGACAGGTAAGCAGGGAAAACTTGATTGGTGATTTCCTATCCCACTTACCGACTACAGAAATGGGAAAGCGGATTCCAAGTCTTCTGTGGATCGTCAAGAGCATTACTGGGCTTCCAACTATAAAGACACAAGAATCCCAAAAGGGACAGCTAGCAAGCCCACGTGTTATTCCTGCAGCTGATAAGTGTTTCATATTTATCCTTTGAATTACTCCTGTGATCTTTTACGTGTCCTTAAGGCAGCTTTAGCCTTCGCAAACCACCCAGAGGGGCACGGATCACGGGGAGGTGAAAGCTGGAGCCCGGAATGAGCAACAGAAGCGGGGGCAACTCTTGCAGCCCATCCACACCCTGCAGTCTCTCTCCTCGGGTGTCTGGGACAGTCGCCCAGTCACATCGCACAGAAGGTTCGCTCTCCTAGAAGGTTCCCAGCCCCCCGGGGAGGCGCTGCGTGCAACAGTCAACTCTACCGAGGGCAGGGAGCAGGCGTGGGGGGTACACAGACCGGAGTAGGGACAGCCTCCCACCCGGAGGAGGGAACGCAGAGAAAGGGGTGGGGACCGCCGCAGAGCCGGGTGGCGGGAGAGGGGTGGGGCCGGGGAGGACCCGGGGGCGGGGCTGCGGGGCTGCGGGGCTGGGCGCGTCACAGCGCCCCCTTGCTGCGCGCTCCCCGCCGTGCTCGGAGGCTGCCGGCGGCTCGGGTTCCAGCCCCTTTGTGTGCGCTGCACTGGCCCTAAGGAGCGGGGCTCCCGCACGGCGCCGGCTCCCCGGGTCCAGCGTCCACGTCCCGGGCTGGGCCTGGTTCTCCTGCTCTTCTCCTCCCTCCTCCGGCCTCTGGCCCCTGGCCCGGAGCAGCAGCCATTGGGCCGCGAGCAGCCCGCGTCCTGCAGCACCCCCTACCCCGCCCGGCCCGGAGAGCTCAGCCGCCCCCTCCCGTTCTGTCCCCCACTTCACCCCCCCCCCACGCCCCGCCACCATCCCAGCCTCCAAAGTGGAGAAAATAAACTAAAAGCAGAGCAACTCAGAGACTCCAATAAAACGCCCAGTACCTAGAGCCCGAGCGCGAGCGCGTGTGCCGGGCGGCGAGGGGCGCGGGAGGCGGGGATGGGGGGCGGGTGGGGGGACAATGAGCGCATGAAGTTACCTGCCCGGCGGCGGCGGGGCCGGGAGGCGGCGGCGGAGCAGGCAGCGCGCTGGGCGCCGACGGGTGCGCGCCGCGGCTTGGGGGAGAGTTGAGCGCTTTCCCCCCTCTTTTTTTTTTCTTTTTTTTTTTTTTCTCCTCTTCTTCTTAAACAAACCACAAACGGATGTGAGGGAAGGAAGGTGTTTCTTTTACTCCTGAGTCCAGACACCTCTCTCTGTTCCGTCTAAGCTTGTTTTGCTGAACACTTTTTTTAAAAAAAGGAAAAGAAAAGGAGTTGCTTGATGTGAGAGTGAAATGGACGTAAGATTTTATCCACCTCCAGCCCAGCCCGCCGCTGCGCCCGACGCTCCCTGTCTGGGACCTTCTCCCTGCCTGGACCCCTACTATTGCAACAAGGTGAACGCTCTGCTTTTGTTTCCACGGTGTTCTCGCTGCTTGGTCCCGGGAGGGGGGCGGCGGCCGGGCCAGCGCGGCGGCGGGAGCCGGTCGGCGGAGGCCAGTCCCGCGCTCGGCTCGCAGCCCGCTGCAGTCCTCCGTGCGCTTGGGTAGTAAATATTGTGGAGCAGCTCCGGGGGTTTGCCAAACACCGCGATTGTGCGGAAAGTGACACGATTTGCTCGGATTTTTCCCTTCCTGCTGTTCGCGACTAAGGATCCCTGCCTAGGTTTGCCGGGGGGCGTTAAAAAAAAAAATTAAGAGAAAACCACGGAATACTTTGGGGGTGTGTCTGGGGTCCGGGAACAGAGGCAGAGAATAGGAGAATTCAGTTTATTTTCCAGTTTCCCTTCTCCCGCCCTCCCTCTCACGGGCATCGGGGGCTCGTGGCACCGCTTTCCTGCCCGGGATTAGTTGCCAAGGGAGCAGCCGGGTGTCGGGGTGCCGAGACCCGGGAGACGCCTCCCCCCCTCCCCCCGCCAGGAAAATTGCTCCACAACTCTTTTGTTTTCCAAAACCCGTGTGGGCGGCCGGGCGCAGTGTTCGGACAGTGTTCGGTCTGCGGTTCAGGGTGCAGCGGGGTAACCGGGTTTGGGGGACAGCTCCTGTTTGGGAGGTGCGCGGGGAACTGCAAGTTAGTTAGGAGCGGTGAGAGCTCTTAGCGCTCACGTCCAAAGCTCTCGCACTCAGCACCCGGCTGAAGCAGGGGTCCAGGCTGGGCGGTGTTGATACCCCGGTGACCCTAGGTGCTAAGGCCGCAAGGATACCGAGGCGAGGCTGATGGAGCGGGCGGCCCGAGGTGGGAGTGCCGGCTGGGGCTACTGCGGTCCACTCGTCCCAAGGATATGGAGTAGTTAGGGAGTACTTAGGGAGGGAGTTTTCTTTGGGCTTTTGGAACTTTCAGCGCCAAGAGGAAGGACTGGAGGTTACTGACCTCCGAGAGTGCAGCCACAGGGCCAAAACCGTTCCCGCCTGGGGCTTATTGGACTTGTCTGCAGTCCCGCCGGGGGAGAATTGAGTTCTCAGAAATGCCGGGCTAGCCATTTAGACAAGCTCCCGCTTCGTGGTAAACCTGCCTGATAACTTACAGCCCCTGCAAGCAATTCCTGGTCGGCCCCTCTGTGAATTCCACTGGATAAATCGTTGGGACTTCTACCTAACATTTGCCTAGTGGCAAGTTATCATCAAACAGTTGTGTGTGTGTGTGTGTGTGTGTTTTAAACGTGATACAGAGGTATTTAGCGCGCTGCATTCTCAGCCCCCCAGGCTCCCCACCATGCAACCGACTCGCAGTTATGAGCTTTGGTCAACTGGGACACACACTCACACACACACACAAACACACACACACACTCTCTCTCTCTCTCTCTCTCTCTCTCTCACACACAGACACACACACACACACACACACACACACACACAGCTGAGAGTTAAGTGAACCTTAGATTACCCGGTGGAGAAGCTCCTCGATGCTGTGTTAAGAGCCAAATAAAAGGGATGCGCTGTGTACCCATGATGTTTAGGCAAGTTTAAATAGAGGGAAATCTAGTCTCGTGCAAGTCTGAAAGGCTTTTCTTTACGCAGGGAGACCTTTAGCTAGGGGCAAGTTGGAAGATACTGGTAACTTTGGCAAGAGAAGTTTGCGGGATGAAGTTTCATTATTTGTTTGGTAACACAGCTCTTTTATTTCAAAATCTGGTTTTTGCCTTATTTTATATTTGTAACATTTTATTTTGAGTATAACATTAATGTTAATGTTAATAATAATAATAATAAAGTAAAACCCTGTCTTGTAGACTAAAGACATTTCACCATAGTAATCAGAACAGAAAGGTCAGAACTATTTTGGCAATGAAACAGGACACATTTTATTAAAAATTTTAGTGATTTTTAGGCTCCAAAAATAATGACTTGGATGCACATTTCACTCACCATTCTTGTGTAGGGTCAGATTTAATTTATAAGTTAAACGTTTTGGAAAATCAAGAATTACTTTAATATATTAAATCATTTTCCAATTAAGTGCTTTAAAAAATTTTAGTGGGTTGTGCTGTGAATTGAATAAATTAATTTAGAAAAACTTCAGAATTTCTGTACTAGCTCATGAAGTTCCTTTTAAGTCACCCAGTGTATGAGGAGCAAACTGTTCTTTTTAAATGCAAATTAGCCACCCTTTCTATAGACTTAGTTGCAAGTCTTCTATTTAACTTACCCAGGGAATAATGGATTTTTAAAGATGCAAAGTCATCAGATATTCTTCTAGCAGTAGGAAGAGACTTCATGGAAATGTTTCTTGCAGGATGCCTTCTCCTACCCTTCTCTATGTAAGAATCTATCAGATATATTTGCCACTATCCTTCATGATATTGAATGTACTGGGTAGGTCTGTTAGGCCTCAGGAAACCCAGGCACTCATTTTACTCCTTTATCACAATTCAAGTTGGTACAAAATTTCTGTCCAGCTCCACTATTTTAGAATGTTGTTAACTAGCATTCAATTTCACAATGACTCAGGTGGATTGCAGGGATATGGAAGACACGCAGAAGTTTGGAAAAGGTGGAATAAGAACCTGTATCTACATTTAATGAAAATAAGTTGGCTCAGACTTCCCCCCAAAGAGACAAGACTGTAAAGAAAACCTTGTCTCTTTCAGAAGTGTGATGAATATGTAGTTTATTACAAAAGCAATCCCTTGGTCAGGTTATGTGTTTTTAATGGGATGATAAGATCATAAATTACTAATTATCTTTATTTTAAATCTGTCAACACTATACTAGTTAAAGTTGGTGTGCTAAATCCCAGCAGGATCAGTATATTTCTGTACTTCAGTATCACACTGTTGTAACTAGAGTTTCCCCCAATGACATTTTTTTCAATGTCAGAAGAGACTCACATGGAGAAAATGAATATCCTCTTCCTGAGGCTTTTCTAGACTAAAATGTGATTGTTTTACTCTGCTGACACTTCCCAGCACCGCTGCTCTATAGATTGCCATAAGACTGCTTACATTTTTCAGTCAATACATTCCATAGGAGGAATTTGGGGGAAACAGTTTAATCTAGTATTGCTCGGTTGTAAGAGCATATTACATTATAAGCACATCACTATGCAATCTGGCCTCCATTTTCATATAGCCCATTTCGGGAGAAAGTGAGAACAATGTGAATGATGTGGGCTATGGCAACTGTGCGAGGCATCTCTTATACAAACAGCCAGAACGGATGGCATGCTGTTGTATATAGGTCAGCCTTTGAAATAGCAGTATAGTTCATAGACCGGACAGAACATGTAGGCTGGAAGTGACAGTGTTCAGAAATGTAAAAGCATGTTATATTTCAGACATTGAGAGATGGATACCATAGTCCAGTTTCATCTAATTAAGACTATTTTAAGTAACATTGTATCCCTTAATTGAACTGCATGTTACCAAAGGAAATTGGATTAGAGGAGCTCACAATTGGAGTTCAGTAGTAAAATATAGTCCTATTTTTTGTCCTACTTGAAGATGTCAGAGCATCAGTTTAAATATATACCTACAGAGTAATAACAGCTTCTTTCAGTTTCTTAGTGCAGTGTCATTTCTAAAGATTGTTTTCACTGATTTTATGCTAAATTGGGACAAAGAAGTGGCATTTTTTCATTTTTACATGATGTGATGTGTTCAGTTATTGCTCAGTATCTGCCCACATAAAGAGTAGTAATACAATTATGTTATGACATGGCTAATGACAGGGATGCTGACCTCTGCCAGCAGTGGGAGAGGAAATAATGGTCTTTACTATTATCCGTGGTTGCTTTTGTGGAAAAAGTCCTGAATCTCTCTTTGGTTGACTTAGAAACAGGGATGTCCGAAGCACAAACCCATATTTAGTACTAGTTTTAGTTTTATACCAAGTAAAGAATAACGGGCATTTGGAATATTCAGCTTTTGTCATTGAAATGGGGAAGGACACTAAGTAATCTTTTCATATAAACACAAGAAGAAAAACCCATTTGTGAGGCTGCTTTAAAATGTCAGGGCTTACATTCAACATTTGATAACTTTGGAGAAAAATAAGATTCATTATTGTCTTTAAAAATCTCCTTTGAGCTTATTTTCCCATCTAGAGTACATTGTGTATTGTACCCGAATGTGGTAAAACCCCTCATGTTTACAATACAGTGCTTGCAAGCACATTAAGATGGAGTCATTTTTCCTATTTTAATTAATAAATGTAAGAAAATGGATGTGGATGGGAGGAGTGGCTGGCAGGAGGAGGAGCAGGAGGAGGAGAAAGGGGAGGGGTATAAGCAATTTAGAGCATCATGCTTGATTAATTTTCTATCCAACTCCATAACTTCTAGGACTTTGGGAAATTCATAGTTGATACTTTGAACATTGTCAGTGTAATTAAAACTCCCCTGAGAGATTTATTAGCTGGCATCTTTCAGAAGTTTGAGGTCTTTTAATGTTTTAAGTAAATTTATAGGTAAGAAAGAGCATAAACCAAGCAATCATGGCTTTGGACACTGTATCAGATATCACAGAGAAATCTCAAATATAACTATCTTGACTTTGTGGGCTATTGCAGTGTTACCCATTTCAATTTTAAATGCAAAAAAAATTATAGTTATGAGGTTTGGAGAGATCTGATGTTTTTATCAAAGCTTACATGGTTTAGTATTCTCACATTATCGTACATCTTGAAAATTACTGAATGATGATATCGAGGGGAATTTTGATATTGTGCTTAGTAGAAAAACACATATTCAGTTATTTAATTAATTGCTTATTGTATTTTTTATAGTAATGTGATTGCAAGGGGATTAATAACAGGGCGAGAAATAGGGCCCTTGTGCCTGTGAGAAATAGGGGAAAATACCAACCTTGTCAATGCCTTCCTTGGTACCAAAACCAAGTCTCAAATATTGATTTTGGTTTGTGGGACTGTTTCTTGTGGTTTTGTTTGTTTGTTTATGT